GTGCACATGCCCTATAGCAAAAAATCTCTCTCAAAAAACAAAACAAAACTATAGTTCTTGGGCCAACTCATAGCATGGTGGTTAAGGCGGCTGAATCCCACATGGCCAACTGGGTAGCTTGAGAAACATGCCAGGCACATGAGCGTGCATGCCCAAAATCATTTTTTTTTTTTTGGAGAGGCTTTTCCCTTTCGCTATAAGGCACATGCGCTCGCCAGAAAGACAGAGAGAGACAGAGAGACAGAAAGCGAGAAATCACCCCCCGAGGAGGTCGTGCCGCAATCCCTTCTCCTCCATTCTCCTCTCGGGATCTTGGGCACACATGCACATGTGCCGGCATGAGTTTAAGCCGCCGGGTCCGGGACTTGAACCGTGGTCGACTATGTGAGAGTCCAGTGACATAGCCATTATGCTAACTGCTGGTCCCGATGCCCCAAATCTTGAGTGGAAGTTAGAAGTGAAGAAGGGATTATAAAATGGCCATTCCCCGTGCAGGATGTGTTCTCATTCTCTCTCTGTATGTCTCTTTCTGGCAAGTGCAAGTGTCTTTAACAAACAAAGAACTCGTTTTTGGGGCTAGGTAGTGGTAACACAGCTGGGTCTAAATGGGCATGGTCTTGGGTTTGTGTCCCGGGACCTCCCAGAGCGGGCCAGACATGCATGTGTGCACCGGTGATCCAGGCCAGCTGAGACTGGGGGTGGATTGTGGCGTGAAGATTCCGTTGGGGTGCCCCCTCTTCTCTGTCTCTCTTTCTCTTATGTTATAAGCAGACAAAACTAAACTAAAGTAGCGTCATGTTTGGAAGCTTCTTGGGAGGCACGGCTTTAGTTCCCCGTGTGGTTGCTGGCACCTGCGAGCCTCGCTAATTGACAGGCCAGGGCAGGATCTCAAGAATATTGCTCCATCTCAGGACCAGCAGTTAGCATAATGGCTATGTCGCTGGACTCCCATGTAGTCGACCACAGTTTGAGTCCCAGACCCAGTGGCTTAAACTCACACCGGGTGCATGTGCGTGCGTGCCCAAGATCCTGCGAGGAGAATGGAGAAGGGATTGCGATATAGCCATCCCCCCTGGGGGGTGATTTCTTGCTTTCTGTCTCTCTGTCTCTCTGGCGAGCGCACGTGCCCTACAGCAAAAAAACTTCTCCAAAAAAAATAAATAAATAAGAATATTTCTCTGTCTCTCCCTTCCTCTCTCCCTTGCCCTTTTCCTCTCTCATGATAAAGGAAGGGAAAAAAATAACCATAGTTCCTTCCACAATGCCAAACTACCTTACTCTGAATGAAATCACGTTTGCTTCCTGGGGGAGAAGACAAAGGCAGGGGAGACGGGAAAGGGCAGACACACCACACACCTTTAACAAGTACAGAGGACTATCTGGCTGCTTCCGGTCTGTAACAGCCCTCACGTACGCCAAGACACTCAGAGTTCTGGACTGCCTTACGTCTACTTTCAAATTCTGCTCTGTGTTAATCTGTGACCAGCAGTGGAATGAAAATTGGGGGAGGTGGGAAAGGCAGCCCGAATGGAAGATCAAGAAGAGTAGAACCATGGCTCTCAATCTCTTCTCTACAGAGTTCACACTGCACAGAGTAAGGAACCCCCACACGGTAAGTGGTAGAAAAGGTGTCTCTTGTGTTTCTAATTGCAAGGCAGTCAGGAAGAAAGACAGGAACTGATCTTCAGGAGTAAGGAATTAATGATTACAGTGAAAATTGAGGTTTTTTTTTTTAAATATTATTTTATTTTTTATTTATTTTAATTTGACCAGAGAGGGAGGGAGGGGGATGGGAAAAGAGAGAAAGAGAGAGAGAGAGAGAGTGAGAAAACAAGTTGCAAAGTCCAGGACTCAAACTGTGATTGGCCATGTCAGAGCACAATGCCCTTAACCACTATGCCACCCACTGGTCCCTGGGAATTGAGTTTTAACTTCAGGTTTATAATATTTTCTTCTAACTAGATTTCATATTCCTTCCAAATACAAATTATGTCCTTAATTCTCTTTAGAATCCCCCTTTCTCAGGACCAGCAGTTAGCGTAATGGCTATGTCGCTGGACTCCCATGTAGTCAACCACGGTTCAAGCCCCAGACCTGGTGGCTTAAATTCACGCTGGGTGTGTGTGCATGTGTGCCTGAGATCCCGAGAGGAGAATGGAGGAGAAGGGATCGTGCCATGACCATCCCCCTTGGGGGGTGATTTCTTGCTTTCTGTCTCTCTGTCTTTCCAGCAAACACATGTGCTCTACAGCAAAAAGCCTGTCCAAAACAAAAAAGAATCCCCTTTTTTCAACAATATGATTAAGGACATTCATATATAGAGAGGATGGAAGAAAGAGGAAAGGAGACTCTGGAAACAGGTCACGGGTCCTCTGTGTAGACATGAGAACAAGGGCAGGTCCTTGTCACACAGAGCTGGAGAGCAGAGGGGCATGCAGGAACCTCAGAAAGGCCCTCGGGCTGGGGAAGGGACAGAAACTCACCATCATTCGGAGTGCTTCATGGGGACAGAAAATAGCCAGCTGCCGGACCGGCTCATTGTGAGCGTTGAAGAAGATAGTCATAGCAACCAGGACGTCACAGCCGTGAGCCTGGCAGAAGGCATGGAGATCTGTGAGGAGGTCAGACCTCTGCAAAAACGCCTGAAAGGAAGGAATGGAGTGGGATGAGTTATCCTGGACCTCCTGTCACCAGCAGTAAGCCCTTGTGAAGGGTTTTCTTATGTGCTGACCTGGGTCTTACGCTCCACTAAAAAATAAATAAATAGGAAGGCATGGGTCAATCAGTGGCCAGGTGGTTAAGGCAGCTGGATCCTACAAGGCTGACTGTGGGTCAAGTCTCAGACCCAGAGGCTCGAGGAACATGCCAGACATGTGTGTGTGTGTGTTCACGTGTGTGTACGCACTCAAAATCCAAAGAGGAGAAGGGGCAAGGTGATTTTTCACTCTCCCACCCTCCTGTTTCTCTCTAGGAAGCACACTATAACAAAACCTAAAATAATGGGAACCAGCAGTTAGCGTAATGGCTATGTCGCTGGACTCCCACGTAGTCGACCGCGGTTTGCGTCCCGGACCCGGTGGCTTAAAATTCACGCCGGGCGCGTGTGCGTGCGTGCCCAAGATCCCAAGAGGAGAATGGAGGAGAAGGGATTGCAGCGTGACCATCCCCCCTGGGGGGTGATTTCTC